GGCGTTCGGTGAGGCGGTTTCAGCGTTTGCCGGACAATCGCAGGCAATTGCGCTGCTGCTTTAAACTTTGCAGTAAGTTTTGCCCAGAACGTGTACGAAGGAAACAGCTGGTGGGTTAATTCAGGGCTGACTGAGGGAAGCCAGTCGGTTGGTAGTGGTGTGCTCTGTTCGGGGGGGTGGGCTGGTGTTTTACGTGAACACCAACATACGTTCCACGGTTAAGAACCTCTAAATAAAAAAGGTTTGGGAAACATCGTCTCTTCCTTAAGCTGATTGCCTCAGTTCTGAACAGATTGTTCGTTGCCTTGCACTGAGAGGAAAGAAAGATGTTACGGACGCAGAATGACAGGTCTGAAGAATTTGGTTTTACAGCACGTAACCTGCAGAGGAGCCGCTGGAGGTAACGGGGGCTGCAGCCAGGAGCTGCGAGCAGCCACCCTCCTCCGAGGCCAAGCGGAGCTGAGCTTGCGAGACAGAGGTGGCCCCTCGGAGCGGCGGGCGCGCGAGGCAGGGCCTGGAGCCCGCAGCGGTGACACGGAGCGGTTGCGTGGATGGGAGCTGAAGCGAAGCGGGAGGCTGCGAAGCCAGGCAGCGCGTGGCTGGGCGCTCGGCGAATCCCTTCAGAGCACAAACCTGCCGTTGGTTGCTCTGTTTGGTCTCCTCTTTTCCCCTGGTAGTGTTGTGAGTTAGTTTCTGTGATCTTCGTTCAGGAAGCATCAATAATGTTTAATTTTGAGTTCCGGAGGACAGTCTGGACTTTCTGAAGGTGCCTTTTCACTGCCAGGACGGGGAACTTGAGCTCTTGACCAGGTGTTCTGAAACGCTGCGGTCAGATGTTTAGAAGCAGACAGTAGCTTTTGTGTCGGGATCTTTGGGGTTGCCTGGAAAACAACGTTCGGAACTGGGTTGGGTTAGAGGCCCTGAAGCTTTAGGGATGACGAGCCGACTCGCTTGAGCTGTCAGCGTTGTAGCTGAGCCCGAACTGAAGTGTGCACGTGGTGACTGCGGATTGATTCGTTCACAGGGGCACGGTGCAATCCCGCTTTCCGTTGATATCTTTTAGCTCAAGACTCTCGCTGCAGTGAGGGGAGGGTGGAAGCTCGTGCTGGTTTTCACGTGTTAGTGCTCAGTGTAGGTCTTGGTTTTTTCACTCGCAGCCAGGACCAGCATGCTGTTCACAATCAATAATTAATGTGCGTTGAGAATATTATTAAACGTGAGAAGTGTGGTTAGTAACGGCTTGCTGTGCCTGCTTGGGGCTTTGGTCAGTTTGGTACGTGCCCCTAATTCAGTGCATTAGTAATTTATTGGAAAAAACTGAAATCTGCATTTCAGGTGAGTGAAATGCTGCCCTAATTGTTGCCAGCGATGCTTCCTCGCTGGAAAAGCGGGACTGAGCGTTGCTGGCTCTCTTTTTTTTTTTAGCAGGTGAGGTCCCTGCTCCCCTCTGGGTGGCAAACCCCCCAGCTTGTCCAACCCCCCAGCTTGTCCCTGTTTACCCTGTGACGGACACCACTGACACGCGTGAGGCTGGTACCAGCTTCGTTCGGCACCGAGGGACGGGAGCAGCCCTGGCTCTGGGGCTGATGAAACAACCGCGCTGCGTTCAGGGGAAGCAACTCTGGTGACCATTAAAGTTAATGTGTGTGTTGAGAATTACCCGGGACGTCCGGAGCACCGAGCTGTTGTTACGTGACACCCCGCAGTCGGCTCCAAGGAGGTCTGCGTGCGCCTTCTGGTTTGACACCACCTTTCCCTCTTTCTTTCCTTGGTTTCTTGCACAGCCTGGATAAGCTCTGAGAAGGTGACGGGTGTCCGAGTCCAGCGCAGATGCGTATTTCCCTACCTGTCACGTCCCCCGGCCAGCACAAGGCTTCTCTCTGCCAACCTCCGTAGCTTTGCTGACCTTCAGGGTTTTTTTCTCTCTGCTTACATTTCCACTTCTGGAAAATGTTTAGGTTCTCACTTCGCCGGTTTTATTAAATTCTCTTCTAGATTTTTTCACTTAGATTCCCGTTTAGAGAGTCAGTGCGCTCTGGGAAGTCTGTCACAAGGATTTTGGTTGCAGGATAATTATTGAAAATATGAAATATTATTGAAAATATTAAAATACAATGCTTTAAAAAGAAACGGGGCACTTTCATTTTTGTGGGCTTAATTGAATCTGATAAATGTACTTTAGACGGTTACAATAAGAAAAACATTCTTTGCAGTGCTTTCAAAATGAGGTGGGTGCTTCGATAGTCAGTTTTGAGGATAGCTTGAGGAGAATCTTTGATCCACGTTTGCCAAAAGTAACGTAAACCAGAGGGCAGCTCTGCTGAGGAGGACAGCTTTGTCAGCTCGTGGATACCAGCGAGTGTTCCCAACCTTTGTAACTCTGTAAAGCTTTAACCTCGTCATGAAAGTTCCCGATAGCAGCTGGGAGGATTGTTCCGCAGCCAATCAGACGGGCTCAGGGTTTGTTGGCCTCAGTTAAACAAGCAAGAGTTGACGTTTTGGCCTTCTCTTCAGGAGAGCCACTGGCCAGAGCGGAGCGGCGCCGCTCCCGGAGCGCAGCACGCCGGATTGTCAGAACGCTCGTGTGAACTGGGGACTTGTCACCCTCTTGGGGTCCGCGGGGTCTGGCTGTTGAGATGCGTGACGTCGGGGCTGGGTCTCGCAGTGTTGCGTTACGTGTCGTCGCGTGTTTCTAGAGCAAAGAGGAAGTGGCCCGGGCCCCGTTGCAGGTGTGTGGTTCAGCCGCTGTGTTGCTGGGTGCAGCCATCACTTGGCCAGCCCAAATCTCTTTAGTTTTGTAGCTCTTCTCATTGGGCCTGGGAGTTCTGAGCTTCGTGTTACCACGTGTGGCTTTCGGTGTTTGCTGGAGTGATGAGTAACATCCTCTGCCGTGCTCAGCGTTGCTTTTTGCTTCTGGTCACCTCCACAAGTGTAGTGAATCTCCCTGAAGTGTTTCAGTTTCACTTTTGTCGTGCTTATTTCTTAAAATTAGTTTCAGCCTGAGCTAAGTGCTAACCTCAAAGACGTAAGGTAGTGAGGCAGTGTTTATTTTTATAAAATAATGAGTCATCCCCTGGACATCTCTTGTCTTTTTTTTGCTTTGATGAAAAGTAAATGCAAGGGAATGGGGTGTGCTGGGTTTCAGCCCGCTGACAGGTGCGCGGCCTCACCGGAGCCACCAGCAGTTGAGCAGAGCGAAGCTTTGGACTTGCTGAGCTACATCAAGAGAGCGAGTATGTCGGTGCCACAGGTCACTGGGTCTTTCTTCTAAGGTTATTTCGTTGGAGAACAACTACTCTGAAAGCTGAGAAGGGAAATGTACGTGTGTCCTTTCACGCTGGACTATTTCTATTTCTTCTTTCTGTTTCCAGCTCTTCTGCGAAGATTAACGAAAGGGGGAAAACTCCATTGCTGTGTGGATTAAATCAGTTGTGCGTGGGGGATTTTGAATCCCAGAGAGGGTCTTGCTAAAGTTGTGGTCTTTGTTTCTCCTCCTCTCGTGGTTATCTTGAACGTTCCCAGTGTTTGGAGGCTTTTTGTTACTGAATTTGGGCTTGTCCTTGCAACAAATAGCTCTGGAACTAGGTGTGACCTTGGCAGGGGAATTATCTCTAAAGCTATTGCAACTGCTTCCTTATCCTTTTACTTTATGTTTGTGCCTGGTAGCAAGCCACTCCTTAATTTTAGAATCCAGGAGGCCGGCCTCTCAAATGTCGGACTTCCTTATGTGTGAATTTTTGAGATACGAGCTAGGGTTAATGTCTTTCGCCTTTTAAATTCAAGCGAATGACGGGAGCGGAGCGGACTGTCGTTCAGTGTCCGAAGGAAACTGTATTAGTTGCGTGTAGGGTGTTAGGTGCTCTGGGGAGGAGAATTTTTGCAAAAGCACAGATTTCTTGTCCTCGCAGAAGGACTTAGTTTTACCATGGTGGAGTGAAAGCCATGACAGTGCTCATCCTCTGCACTGTTGCTGGATTATCGGACTCCTTGCCCAAATGCCTTTGGGCTTCCGAGGGGCTCTCGGAAAGGGACTTTGGGAGGCGCCATCTCTTGCTGTAGAAAGGAGTGTTGGTCTGTGTCAGGTTCCAGGTTGGAATCCAGCCTTGCTCTTGTCTGGCTCATTGTTTACCCTCTTACTCTAATTATGGTCCTTGTTGCCCAGTCTCGAAGGGAGACGCTCCTGTTCCCCCCTCCCAGCAGGCTGCGATGCTGTGTATGTTTGTCTTGCTGCTTCAAAAACGTTCATCTCCTGGGTTACAGGCTGAAGGAAGTGATTAGCGAGCGTTGATGGGTGTAAGATGTAGGTAAGCTCACGGGGCAGTCGGGTAGCGCTCAGGTAAGTGCGTGAGGAGTCTTGGCATAGCGTAGGTGATGCTTGGCTACCACAGATGTCGCTAATTCAGCAAGTCCTTAGTTTCTTCTCCTTGACATATGTTTTTTTTTTACCTTCCTTTCTAGGAAGGGGTCTGGAGGAGGGAAAATTTCCCTTTCTGGTGAAAGGGGACTGGAGCGTTATGGCAGTCAAGTCTTTAAAAGCTTATGAGTTACCAGACCCTTGACGGCTAGCCGCTTCCTCCGCTGATGTTGTCGGATGTCAATAAAGAGAGGTTGAAGGCAACACTTCTAATGGAGGTAGAAATGAAGTACTTGGAAAATACCAAGGATTTTCCTGTTTCGCTTAATGAAAAATCACATAGGTGCTTAATAGTCGGTTAGAGACTTGAGATGTGGAACTATAGAAAATCACTAAATTCACCTGTATTGTCTGGCTTGACTTCTAACGCCTCTTTGGGTTCTTTTTCCTCATAAAAGTGTTCTGGTCTCTTCAGCAGGTGACGTCGAAAGGTGCTGGCTTAAACCCTAATGCAAAAGTGTGGCAAGAAGTACCCCAAGGGAGTGGCGAGGCTGTGCCACCCACAAATGGCGCTGAGCACTCGTGGCAGGACACCGCGGCCGCCCAAGGGACACACGCCGAGGGTGAGATGTCGCGGGCCCGTGTTTAAGCACTAGCCGTGACGTGTCCCTCGCGAGGTAGCGCTGAGGGTTCTCTCAGAGTTCGGCAGTGAGGAGCAACCTCCTGCTCTTGTCGCTGCTGATGCAGCAACACGTATGAAATGCAGGAAGCAGTGTATAGATCTATAGGTCTGAGCAGTGGGCTCTGGTTTGGGGCTTCAGGAGGGGTCCAGGACAGACTGCTGCAGCAGGCGACAGGATCCGAGGGGCCCGGTGATGACTGAGTAACGCGCTAAGAGGGAAACAAGATGCTAAACGTGTGGAAATGGATTCATGACTTGTCTCGTTCGCCATTGCTGCACTTTAGTATGCCCTGTGAACAGGAAGATAAGGTCTGAGGGCCGCCTGCGATCCTGGTAGGTCACTGAGGTGCTGCTGAGAACGGTCAGACATAGCGTTAGTGCTGGAGCAGAACCCACAAAGCAGCTGTGCGAGCTCCTGTCGCGCAGTCCCTGTCCCGCTTCAGTCCCCGTTCTCCATCCTTACCACATGGTCAGTCCTGTCGCCCAGAACTAAATATTCAAGCGGTTTAACTCGTCTGGTTTGACTTAGACTTGATACGAAGCCAGTTGTGTAGCCGAGGCTACTCGGAATACGGCAGAGGCCTGTGAATTAGGAAGCAGAAGGTTCCCTGGAAAAAGGTTTAGGACAAGTTAGGGATAAAGACGGGAGGATTCAGTTTGTGTGGCCCTGTCAAAAGTTTCTGGTAAGTCAGCAGAAGTGAGGAGCGAGTGCTGAGTTTGTGCATTGGCTGAGAGAAACTCGTTTGTCTCTTCATAACAATACGAAGCAATCGCGGCGGGGTTGTGCTGCTGGAAAATGAAAGGCAGTTTTTCCAATTACGATGTTCTTGGTTTTAAGCAATTTCTAATTTAAGAAGTGAGAGCAGTATCTCTTCTCAAAGTGTGTTTTCAGTGGATTCATCATTAATGTGGAAAAGATTCAGCAGAGCAGTTGATGTTTTCAGAACAATCTCCTTTGCCTGACCGTTGGATTAAACTGAAATTGCTCTTGTTTCTGTCTCAAGCAGCTGTGGTGAAGACTAAGCTGAGGTGCCTTGAACAAGAGATTGGCCAATTTCCATGTCATTCCACTGTTTTATAATGCCACTAGATGCTCCCGAGTCCTTTATATAAATAAGAATGCTGTAATGCGTTGGAGTGACGTAAGCTATTTTAGAGCTTGGTTTTCAGGAACCTCGTTTAGATGCTTTAAATTTCAGGTGGGAAGTCTGTTTTTCAGATCCTCTGCCACTTTTGGGGATCTTACAATTTCCCAATCCTATTATTTCCTTAGCCCTGAGGCCCTAGTGCAAACCAGAAGGTCTTTCTGAAACGGGAGAGGCAGAAAGTGCTATCCAGTACAAAGTGGATGCTAAGAAACATAGACCAAGCCTGGGCACTTTCAGTTACAGCGTTCTTAAGTATTTGTTTTAGTGTTGGGAGCCAAAATTTTTCAAATGGAAAATACTCTGAAGCTTGTAGTAGGTTTTCTGTTGATGATGTGTTCTCTTGCCAGGTAACATAGAGATTTCAGAGGACAGCTGCAAGCAGTATGAAGTGATGTATCCCCCATCTTGTGAAGCCACAAGAAATGGCACAGGGGTTGATGAAGCATCTGCAAATGGGATTGTCCTGGCAACCGAAGATCTTGGATACCAAATCTATGAAGTGTCTGGTGAGTATTCAAGTCGGGGTGTGCTGTCAGTGGCTGTAACGCTCCAAAGCCTGCTGCAGTTCTGGTGTGACTGAGCAGGAGCTCGGACGTGTTCCGGGCGTGTTCAAGCAGATCCAGCCGTCGCGCTTGGCCAAGTAGGTGAACGCTGAGGGATCGCGGTCGCTGGGGGAACGTGCAGCGTGGTGGTCCTTGGGCACATCTCGGCTGACCTTTTCCTCTTGGTCCCACCCCAGAGGATTTGTTCTTTTGTTGTACAATGAAATGTTTTCTGGCGTTGTGTTCTGGCCATGAACCTGAGATCTGATGGTGAATGTGGTGACTTTCAGGTGAGGGCAGCTCCACTGTGTCCACAGAAGACATTAGAGAATGTTTGAAAAAGCAACTTGAATTCTGCTTTTCACGGTACGGTACAGTACAGTTAATTCAACTTTGTGTGAACCCTTTGTAAAATCCTTGACAAATTTTTCCCTTTTTTGGCTTCATACGTGCTATCAATCTTCATAAACATGTTAACCCTGAATGAGAGAGTTGGTTGCCATGTGAAACAAGATTTGCTAAAATGCTGTAGAAACCCTGTGGTACCTCTCAGCTGTCTTGGTCCTGCCCGTCCTTTAACGAGGAGTGAATATGGCTTCACCGCTATAAGGCGGTGAGATAATTTAGCTGTGTGTTACCAGAAGAGGTCTCTTTGGTGAGATCCTTTTTGCTGACTAACATGCAGAGCACCAACTTTCATTAAGTTTTTACATTATCTTACTCTGCTTTGTGTTGATCTGCTAGGACTTTCCCCAGGAGAGAAAATCTGAGTACGTTTTGGCTAGAGTTAGTTGTGTATTGGTGAATATTTAAGCCTGCAGTTATCCTGCTGTTTTGAGGCTTCTGTAAGGAAAGTTCAGGATTCTTATAAAATACTGAACTTCTGTCTTTTTAGTGAGAATCTGTCAAAGGATCTCTACTTGATGTCTCAAATGGACAGTGATCAGTTTGTTCCAATATGGACAATTGCCAACATGGAAGGTATTAAGAAGCTGACGACTGATATGGACCTTATTCTTGAAGTTTTGAGATGTAAGTCTGGGGTGTTTGGTGTCTGTGATAGTAGAACAAAGGATCCTTCCTTGCTTTGGAGAAGTGTGTTAGTCCCTGAGGTGGTTATGGCATATTGTTCTGGTAAATGGTGACGGGAACCTCCTTCTGCAGAGATGTGTGAATAAGTGGCTGTTCCAGACTCCTGAATTCTAGTTACGCTTTATAATAATCTGCCTGAATCTGCCCCAGTAAGATGCTGCTCTAAGGTGTTGTGAGCAGTGAAAGTCTTACGCTGGGAGTAAAAGCAGTCTTCTGACTCAGTGCAGAAGTTTACTAGGAGCTTGAAAAAGCTATTAAAATTCGATCTGGGAGAGAATTGAATGTGGGGCTGAGCATTTTGGGTGTCTGAGCTGTAGATGGAGGCAACAGACAGACAGCTAAAATGTCCTGAAGGTCTAACAGACACCGCTGGCAGAACAGCCCTTTACCCCCAGTTCAGGACGTCTGGTTTCTTGGGCAGCCCATCGCAGCCCTTGGTTACAAGTTGGAGGGTGGAGTCCAGTACCACTGAGGTGGTTTGCAGTGCACCATGTCCAGTATTAAGCCAACTTTTCTATTTAAATTTCAGCTTCTCCGATGGTACAAGTGGACGAGAGAGGGGAGAAAGTTAGACCAAACCACAAACGATGTATTATCATTCTCCGTGAGATCCCTGAAACAACACCTATAGAGGTAAATAAATAGAAAAGAAAGAAATAGAAGCTCGTTGATGTTTATGGAAGGTGTCTTCAACAGTGCTTCAAACAGCAACAGGAAGCATTGTTTAAAGGGTCAACTGGTATTTAATTTGGTTGAGCACAGATATTTTTCTTGTAAACCACACAAGTCATTTTTTCTGCCTGCTTGTATTGCACAAAAGTGAAAGCAAAAATTCATTATCGTTATTGTCACTTCCGATTATTTACTAATGTATTAAAATGCTCTGAAGTCAATGTTTTTCCACCAAAGATGGAGCTAGCTAGGCTTTTCTGGAAGGAAGTTCGAACTGGTCTCTTCAGCTCCAAAAATAAAATCAGTCCAGGGCATAGCTGGGAATTCGGGCTGAAGTTTTGTCACAGCAGTAACTTTACTTGAAGTCAGACGGTTGTTTTGGCAGCACGAAATGTTGCTAAACATTTCTCATTCATTGTGACCCAGCGTGAGCTGAGCTCATTATGTTCAGAGGAGGGAGGATAATAAAATTCCTACTGATATTTGGCTAACAGAATGATTTAGTTCTTTGTTTTTTTAAAGTTGTTTGCCTACTAGCATTCTGAATTAGTTCTTTCAGGGCAAACGCTGAGCAACTGCTTTGCTGTCTCTTTAAAATCTGATCATTGCAAAGCTGTCAGGTTGCCTTGATTTAGAAATATTTCTTAGAATCACTCTTGTCTAGATGACTCTTCTGATCTAAAGCCATGTTTTTGCAACCGCTTTTGTGTAGAAATATCGCCAGTTCTCCGCTGATCTTGATTTTCTTACTAAATGGGCCTGGTGCTTTTCACGTGGGGAGCTCAGTAGGCAGGACTGGTGTTCTTGGGTTCAGGAACAGGCAGAGGATGGTTTGGTGTCTGGGAGGCCCGTCAAGGGAATAAAAGAACATTCCTGGTCAAGGGAAAGTTGCAGCTGAGGAGCTGGAGTGTGAACTTTGGTTGGTTGGTTTAGTGTTCAATTTACAGCTGAGCTGCTGACTTCTTCTCTCCCCTAGGAGGTTAAGGCTCTTTTCAAAAATGAAAACTGCCCCAAAGTGATAAGCTGTGAGTTTGCTCACAACAACAACTGGTACGTTACATTCCAGTCAGATACAGATGCACAACAGGTAAGGCTGCCTTCGCTTGTTAACGACATCTCGGTTCTGTTTTCCATGCTTCCTCTGCTCAAGAGAGTTGCACACGTGCTTCCTGTAGCTAAATGAAATGTTTATTTACTGATCCCCCTTCTGTTATTTTAAGAGGTTATTGGCAAATTCTAGTTAATAGAGAAAAAAGCAGAGAGTTTTGAGGGTTTTAATTCCCTTGTCTGCCTCTTGCCTCAGTGCTCTCCAGCCATAACTGGCATCTAGTATCCTGAATTTGAAGTGTTAATGAATTTATCTGGGCTAACAGGGAAGTACATCGTTACACGTTCATCTTAAATCATGTAATGTCCTTTAGGAAGTACGATTTTATCAAGATAATTCTGATGATAATCTCTCTTGTATCTGCAGGCGTTTAAATACTTAAGGGAAGAAGTGAAAACCTTTCAGGGCAAGCCAGTAATGGTAAGGCTGCTTTCTATGAGGTTTCTGTTGGAATGGAGTTATGTATTGTTTGTGTTTGGATGCTGGTGTGCATTTATGGGGGGGACACGACTGAGGAATTAGCAGTGGGATGGTTTGTAACACTTGCTCCGTAGGTTGTTAACTGGAATGAGGTCACGGGTAGCTTTGAAAAGTGACAGTTCAGTGGCTGCTGGTTATTCTCAGCGCTGCTTCCCATGAGGTGTGAAATACATTCCTGTTTCGTCTTCCCTTCTCCACTTTCCCCAGAATCTGGGTCTGCAGAACTCAGGAGAGGAACTCCTGCCATCATGAGTCTCTAGCCTGAGTTAGCTGCTCTGCAAATAAGGCTGAAGCAAGCTGTGTGTACCGTGAGGGGAACGGTCAAAATTGGAGCCTGGACGGTTCATACAGTCACGGGATGGTTTGGGTTGGAAGGGACCGTAAAGACGGTCGAGGTTCCCACCCTGCCACGGGCAGGGACACCTTCCACTAGAGCGGGTTGCCCAGAGCCCCGTCCAACCTGGCCATGGACGACACCGGGGCTGGGGCATCCGCAGCTCGTCTGGGCAACCTGTGCCAGTGCCTCACCCCCCTTACCGTAAAGAATTACCTTCCTTACGTCGAACCCAAACCTGCCCTCTTTGAGTGTGAAACCATTGCCCTTCATCCAGGCCCCGCCGCCTTTCCTGTACCCCCCTTTCAGCACTGAAGGCCGCTCTGAGGTCTCCCCAGAGCCTTCTCCTGTCCAGGCTGAACAACCCCAGCTCGCCCAGCCTGGCCTCACCGGGGAGGTGCTCCAGCCCCTGAGCATCTTCCCGTGCAGTCACGGCTGTAGGGAGCAGGGGTTATCTTAAACTTGGCCGATTCTCTAGCTGAGGCAGCGTGTGTGTCCTTCCCTTGAGCGCGCTGTAAGGGTGTGATCTGGATTGACATCTATCAGAGTTTTCGTTTTTAAGCAGTAGTTGACCTCCTTCCTCCTCACAGCCCTTTTGTTATAATTTCAGTAGGCAAGAAAGATTTCATGTTCTGCTTCTGCTTTTCTCCCAGCTAATGTGCATGATGCGATTCGATGTCTTGCAGGCAAGGATAAAAGCCATCAACACATTTTTTGCTAAGAATGGTTACCGGGTAGTGGATTCCAGTGTCTATACTCAGCCAGTTCAAACACAAGCACAGTTTGCCTCACCACTGTTTATGCAGCCTGTATATAGTCCTCAGCAGTACTCTATTTACAGCATTGTGCCTCAGACATGGTCTCCAAATCCTGCACCTTACTTTGAAACACCACTGGTGAGTAACAGCTGATGGAAACGAGGGGAGGTGGCCCAAAACATCAGGAATAATTTGGTTGACAAATCCACAGGGTTAGTGGGCTTTTCAGCTGTAGAATGCACAGGTTTCCTGGTCGGGTCGCTCTGTTTTATGATACTTTGTTATGTCATGGACCTGATAAAGCAAGGCTGCCGGAGAGGCTGTACGTCTCACCGTCGGCTGCTGCTTATTTCAAGAAATTTTGGTGTGAAATTCCGTTACCCAGCAGCTAATCTTCCTGGAAGAGCTTTGTAGCTCTTTGTAGCTCTTCCAGGAACAGGAGAGCTCTGATGCCAAAGTAGATGTGCAGCCTGGGAACCTGGTGGGGTTTGTGTGAGTTCACGGCGTGCCAGGTGCAGTAGCCCAGTGCAGAAGTACAAACAGGCTGGATGAATAACTGCTGAAGCTGATCTCATAAAACTGCAAACGTTTTTCTTTTTAGTTCAGCCATTGAGACTGTTCTGTCTGTTGCAGGCCCCCTTTCCTAACGGTGGATTTGTGAATGGCTTTAATACACCAGGATCATATAAAACAAATGCTGCTTCTTTGAGTATAGGTCGCCCATTCCATAGAAATCGGTAAGATAGCTCTGTCAGTTGTTTGCTCTCTGGGAACTTACAGTATTGAGACCCTGAAGTGTTCCTTGTGAAATGCAGCGCCTTCTGATGGGACTAGGTTACTTACTTTGTTTGTCAGATATGTATGATGTTTTTCAACTTGATTTATAAAATAAAATTAAAATCGAGGTGGCAGCTTAAGATCCTAAAATAATGGACATGTGCGGTGGAGAGCGCAAAGGTATCTCCTGTAAAAGCCTCAGAGGAATTTCTGCAGACAAATAAATAGCTTCCTCTTAAGGTAATACTTCTAATTATGTTTGTTATACGCAGATTATAAACTCCTGCAGCACAAACGTAAGCTTTTCCTGTTGTGTGATTAGTCTTGCAGAGAGCCATTCAGTTTCTGCAGCTGTGACTTGCATGCCCTGACTGCTGTACGCTAAACCTGCTTGACGCGGAGTCTGTTACTGTAATTTATTTGCTTTATCCCCACCTTTCCCGATAACTGTAAGGACTCGGCTCAGATACAAACACTGGGGAGGAGGAAGCAGCTTTGTATTTGCTGGAACAGTGCTCTGTAAATACAATGGAGTAGTAATCTGTTTGTGTGGGTGGAAATTGTTTTATTTGCAAGCTCTTTCACTGTATTCAGCATGCGGGCTGGTAGCATGGGAATTGCTTTTTATATTGTTTGAGAAAGCAGTTGACAACTGCCAGTACCAGAAGTGGTTTTGCCATGCAGTTGAGGTTTGTGGCTGTTGGCAGAAGGCGAATTTCAGAATTTGGTCTGTGGTGACTCAGCAGAGTCTTAATACAGGCTGTGAAACTGGTAGTGTGACTCTGCTTGGAGATGGGGCAGCTGATCCAGTTACAGCTGCTCAGCTCCCAGCTCAGATCTTTTTATAAAGGTGGGTTTTTTTTGCTTTAATGGTACCCAAACTTAAAGCCTGTAAAACTCTCACGTATGTGGATCCTCTCAGAGGTGTGGATGCTGAAGCTGTACAAGAACTGTATGTACCTAAATACTAACACCTTGAAATGCCCACGTGTTCACTGCTGCCTTGTAGATCACATCTGTATAATCTTTAAGCTTTTAAGACTCTTCTGGTTGTGTTGAGACTTTCATTTGTAAAGCTTCAGTCGTAGTGAAGTTATAGCTTGAGGGTCAGGTGTGTGCAGGTTCTGCTGGTCTGTCTCGGTTGTCTTATCTTCCCTGCCGATCTTGCTCAGCCTTTGTGCTAGTGCAAAGCTCTGGTTTTGTGGTCATAAATCTTCATATTCTGGCAGCAGATCAGCAGGATTCCTTTGCAAACAGACCGCTACGGTAACCGGCACAGCCTCGAAGGTTTGGCCCCGTGATGATCAAGTATCGCGCTAAGAGAGAACAGGTCCAACAGTCGGTTGTCTGGGCAGCCTGCACTTCATGCTTTTCCTTCTTCTTGCTCTCTCACGTCATCTCTCCTTCTCTCTGCTTTTTTTCTTCCTTATCTTTCCTTGTCTTCTCTGCTTTGCTCTTCTGCCCAGACAAGATTGTGGCCTTCTCAATGACGGGTAAGATTATGAGATCTGAGGGCTGAATAATGACTTGAGATTCTTCCATTTTAAGAACAAATTGAACAAAATGGAAGAATTTAGTTAGCTCACCTCCTGCTCCTCCTGTGGTCTTTGCTGATGGAAAGCTTCACCTTGTGGGGGCCTTAAAACTGGTTCTTAATGCTTCCTCAAGCTGTGAAGAATGAATTGATCTTTGCTCAGCGTATCTTCTCTTGAACTGCGGAAGAGTTTATTTGGAGAGGTTCATCCGGCTGCTGCTTTTGGATTTCTGTCCTGGCTCATTAAACTTGATTTGTTTTGTCATACAGGCAGTTAATAGTTAAGTATTGGATTTTTCTCTGTAGATAAACATTTGTTTAAGCCCATCATATTTATTTTGCCCTGAGTTGTTGCAACATCCTTGTGGGAAAGAAAGATTGAGCCTTTGTAACAGAAAATCCTCGGTGCTAGTATTGGTTAAATTGGTATTTTTCTGTCCAGCTATCTAAAAGGTAACTTAAAATGTCTTTCATAAAGCAGATTAATTTGACCACTCAAAATTGGGCTGTTAAAAAGTGATTTTTGTTCTGCTTTCTGGTTACATGTGAAATGCTGCAAAACTTCCAGCTGTGAATTGCAAGGCTGTGAAGTCCATCGGAGGGTGGTGGAGTTGATTTTTAAAATACGACAGGACAACGGCCGAGCAGAGGGAGGAATCCGCTGCTGCTGCAGCCACGCTGCGTACTGCTGTTCTGATGTGATGCTAACAAATTATAATTTGCCATTCACTGAATTCTCCTATTTTGGTTTCTTTTCCTCCCAGCTTAAATTCTCTGGCCAAGTGGGAGGGAACAAGTTTATTGGAAGCTGGAAGGAAACTACCTCCTTGTTAGGCAAGGGTCTGTGGTGTCCAGCACGTGCCTTTCCATATTCCCTTAGCTTAGAGAAAGCCAAAGCTGTGTGATTTGTGGTCTGTTGAAAGAAAGGACCCTTTTTCAGGCTGCAGGCTGCTCCT